CCAGAGGCTCTGAGAATAAATTAGCTTTATATGCTAATAATGTTTAATTGGAGACATCTGAACCCTCAGTTTTGATACCTGCTGTTAAGCAGAAATTCTAGTGTTTAGGGTGGTCTCCAGTTTCAAGATAAATTATTAAGGCAATGTGATGGAATTAGGCCTTGACCAGTGAACTCAGATTCCTATATTTAAATTTAAATGGGCAAAATAAAACACAGAACACCTAAATATAGAGCTTATGTACTTGGCAGTGATCTATTTAATATTAAATTTTCTACCCCTTGTAAAACAGTTCAAAAGTATTTCAACAATTGTAACTTTCTCTCCAGTATTTGTAGGATCACAGTTACCAAAATGCTTGCAGGTGGATGCTTAGCAATCTTGTCACCTAGGATCTGTTTTCTTTCACCCAAAATTCCCTGAAAGGACTGCAAGTTTCCCTTTATAGTAATACAAAATTGGTGAAAAAACAAGACTGCAGTTACCTCATCTACACAGAACACGTTGCCATTTTAAAAGGTGATGTTTTAGTGGTAATTTCTTCCTCTCAAAAAACATACATGAATTTAAAATACCTGTGACACCCATTTGAAACTGCATGAGGAAATACACCTTTCTCCACAGCTAATGGACAGGTTCAAAAGGGGAGAATTTCTTGTTGTGAATTTTAGATTTAACTTCTGAAACCACTTGATCTAATCTACTCCCCTACTTCTCTTTCAAACACCTCTAAGAAAAAAGGCAACCTATTCAAAAACTGTTCCAAACTAATATTCTTATCTTCAACTGAATACTGGAAAAAAGGAGAGCCCCCAATATTAATTGAGTTAGAAGGGTCTGAGACACACAGAAAAACCTCATATGAAAATAACTAGGATTTTTTTAATCAAACTTCTGTTGGACTATGAATAAAATCATTCTTTAAACATCCATGTGGACAAATACTTCACTTTGGGGGGGAAGGGGTGTGTGTGTGTGTGTGTGTGTGTGTGTAAAAAATAACACTTCTGTTGAATAGATTCCATATTTGTGTTTGATTTCTCCTATTTCATACGTGTTACATGTTATAGATCTGTACTGTGTCTCCTACTCTGCTCGAGCACATTATTTCTTTTTAAAAAAGAACTAAAAATAAAAGGAAGAAAAGCTTCTGATTTTTGCTTAAATTACAAAAAAAATGTCTATCACATTTTATTTGTTAGGCCTGTAGATCCAACCCAAATAATCAAGTGAGCTGCATCATCAACAGCACTGTAAAAAAGGGTCTATTTTACCCCACCAGTGATGAAAAAGAACTATGTTGATTCATCGCACGTAGGTAGAATTTTGAGGGCTGGCAGTTGAAAAAAAATTTACTTGTTAACTGAGCATATTTAAATCAAAATAAATATGGATCCCTAAAATTTCAGTTTCACTTTTCAGAATAGACAGACATAGGGTTAACATAGGATCTGAGTAAATCTATTTCTTCAATACCTAAATAGTCAATTTTTCACTTCCATATATTTCTTTTTATTCATTTTTATTTCTGTTTTAATATCAAAATTTGTTAGTACCAAGTGTGATGTGTATTTACAGTAAGAATAGCAAAAACATGAACTGCTATGCCCTAAATGATGAACTGTGCAACTGAAAATAAGACCAACAGCTCCCACACAGACAAGCTCCCTATAAAGGTGAAAAGACAATTAATATATTTTTACATTAGAAAATCTATTCTCATATGAAAAAAATTAAATAGAGTATCTAAACTAAGACACAAGCTAAGGTTCAACATCAGAGGAGAAAGTCTGCAAAAGAAATTAACCTGTAATTCTTGGTCTCCTGGGATATGACAGTTTTGCTAATTGTGTATACGTACGTAGACTTTGTAGAGTGTCGATTGAACCATACCAGCACTTTGATTGGAAGCAGAGGGAGTGCATGGCTCAGAGTCAATATTGTGTGCAATCAGCATGTGCCTTTACTTTATGGCTGCGTCTAGACTGGCAAGTTTTTCCGCAAAACAAAAAAACCTTGCCAGCTGTCTACACTGGCCGCTTGAATTTCCGCAAGAACACTGACGATCTCATGTAAGACTGTCAGTATTCTTGCGGAAATACTATGCTGCTCCCATTCGGGCAAAAGCCCTCTTGCGCAAATGCTTTTGCACAAGAGGGCCAGTGTAGACAATGCGGTATTGTTTTGCGCAAAAAAGTCCCGATCGTGAAAATAGAGAGATCGGGGCTTTCTTGCGCAAAATCGCGTCTAGATTGTCACGGACGCTTTTCCGCAAAAAGTGCTTTTGTGGAAAAGCGTCCGTGCCAATCTAGACTCTCTTTTCCGCTAATGCTTTTAACAGAAAAACTTTTCCGTTAAAAGCATTTGCGGAAAATCATGCCAGTCTAGACGTAGCCCTTCTGTGTGTCACTTTAGTAATACCAGTAGAAGAAAAACCAATATGAACAGAAATGAGTGGAATCTGGCAACCCTGCACACTGGCAACAATAAACAAAATGCCTTGAAGACCACACATAGAATCTCAATAGACTCACAGACTGCCTAACACTGCACTAACTCCTATTTCCTGAAGATACTTTTAAAATTAGATATTAAGTACTGTATCTCTATAATACTCTTATTCAATTATGCATTAAAACATTTATTCAGCTTTCACATTTCTTAATATATACATAGATGACCAGACCACGGGTGGTTAGGCATAGTGGTGGAAGCAAGAGTTCTGCCTACTGGCTAAGAGCTAGATCCAGGGAAAGCAGAGTCCAGGAAATGAGCCAAGGACCAGTACCAAAGACAGAAAGCCACAAGCCAAAGCCAGGGGGAATCCAAAGTCCTAAGCCAGAGCCAGAGATCAAAATCAAAGAGACAGAAGTCAAAAGCCAGAATTAGATGGTCAGACTCATAAATCAGAAGCAGCGACTGGGACTGAAGTCACAAGTGTGAGGCCAGAAAGGAGCAGGCATTGGAAGCTTGTTGGAGCAGGAGCTGAAACGGGTTGGAACAAAGCAAGTAAAGGGAATAAAATAAGCAGGACTGGGATTGAACAAAGGCAAGCATAGTTGTGGGTATGGGAAGGGTTCAGTAACTGCTGGTCGACTTTAGGGGCTATAGACAGGGCTGATAAACCAGCAACCAATCAGGGCTGTGGCCATTCAAGTCCAAAGCAGCTCAAGGCTTATTATCAGCACTGCTACACAGTCAGGAGCAGGCCAGCAACTGGCCCTCACTAGTCTGGTACCTAATAATACAATAGTGCAAAGGAAAGAGCGGCCATGACCAAGTAGCAAAGTAACAACCCTACAAAGGCTGACAAATGTGGGGATTCTTCTTTTGACCTGGAAAGTGGCACCAAGCAATAATTAACATTTATAAAAGCTACTTGTTTTCTTTAATACCTGTTTTAAGATCTTACTGTCATTAAACCAGAAATGGTACACAAAGTGGATCACTCTCCATCTAGACCAGCCTTCTTCCCAGCTGGAATTAAAACAATTATATCCCTCCATATAAAGAATGTCTTTTTGGAGACACTCAGTCCTTTCAGATGTCCTCTTGCTCCCCCACCCAATCCTCTGGGTCTGCATCCTATGACTTGAAGAGGTCTGTTTGCTTTCCACCTCAGACAGACCTTTCCCCGTTCACTGAGGCTGAACTTTTCTGTCATTTACCATAATGTGTTCTAGGTATTTTGTAAATCATATATGAAAACAGTCCTTACCCTGAAGAGCTTACAGTCTAATTTTAGATGTTCCAGGAATTTGGGGGGCATGGTAATGAAGCACAACATTTACTGAAATAAGATTACACTTGGTTACACTTAGAAATTATTTTAAATGGCACTTGCTTCTCAAAACTCCACTTCTGACGTGGCACTTATATGTGAATTTTTCATCAGAAGAGGAAGAGAGCTTGTTATAATGAAACTGCTTACATTTAAAAAAAAATAATTCAATGTAAATAAAAACAAGATTTTGACTCTTCTGTTTACGCTCCCAAATATATCAGTACGGTAAGAAAATATAATAGCTTTTATTTTTAAACAATACTTTTCTTGTACTTGTGGAAAACAACAAAGAACAGTCAAAACCATGTAGCTATCAATGGGAAAACAACACTAATTTTGTTTCAGACGGGTGGCCATGTTAGTCTGTTTCAGCAAAAACAACAAGGAATCCTATAGCACCGTGAAGACTAACAATTTTATTTGGGCATAAGCTTTCATGGGCTGGAGCCCACTTCATCAGATGCATGAAGCAGGACTAAAGTTTCCACTTCAGGCATCTGATGAAGTGAACTCCAGCCCATAAGCGCTTATGCCCAAACAAAATTGTTAGGATTTAAGGTGTCATGCGACTCCTCATTGTTTTTACTAATGTTGTTATAGCAGACAACCAGCAACAGAGCATTTGATTTCACTTTATTTTCAGGAGTTCTTACTGTCTAAATTCTGCACCAGAAACAGTGCTTCCATTAAGATTGAATTACTCCTTAATTAAAGGAAGCAATATAGAATTAATTTAGTGAAAAATGAGGATGTTAATTATATTCTGTAGAGCAATGTTAAGTCTCTGATGGTTTAGTAATACCTCAAGACAATAATAAATTGATTATACACAGATACAACCTTTGCCTTTGGTTTTTCAGATGCTGTATATTTTGGAGAATACTAACTGAACTTTCTGGCCACTACTGGTTGACGTAAATATTAATGACACTATTTTTGGTTCATACATTAATAAAACCTCAAATAAATGCTTACACTTGGTTTAACAGGTAATTATATATTTTAGAAGGTATGATCTTTACCACATCAAAACAATTATTTAATATATAGTGGCCATGTTAGTAGTTCACATAGCCCTCCAATAGAAAATAAACCCTATAATCCAGGGGTCTCAAACTCCTGGCCTGCAAAGCCATTTAGGGTACACAACATCCTAAGCTCCAAATAGGATATGCAATTTGAGCTACGCAAATTCCATATCTTATTTTGAATCTATTTAAAAAATAGCTTATTTTAAAATGTGGTCCATTATTACTTTTCTATAATCTTCCATGGCTTGTCCACAATTCAGATGCAATTTTTTGGCAAGGATACTGCAATTCAAGTAGAACCTTAATCATAAAGTTTATAATCAAAAGTAAAGACTGATGAGTTAGTGAGTAAGGATAATGAAAACAGAAAGTTACATATCGAACAAAATCTGTATATACTTTCTAGAGATTAAACTTAATGGCTAATAACTTTCTGCCCGAAGAGGTTTCTTTCGCATCAAAAGTATTTTACAGTGCTTCCAACCAGGGCATGTTGGGATCCAGTTATCCTGAACATTATCACACTTCCTCAATTACTGCCTCAGGTGCAGGATGAAGGGGTGTCTTTTCACCTTATCCTTATATTTCCCAAAGTCATTGTTTGTCCCCAGAGTTAAGATGACCCTCACATGCTTTATTCCCTGATAAGCTGACTCCATGAGGACTTCACATCCTTGTGTTGACATCATACACTAACATAGCTTGGCTTCCTGTGGAAGGCTTACAATATTTAATTCACATGAACCAATATAGAAGGTCAATATAAACCCTTTGTCTAGCAGAAACTCCCTTTGTCAACTCTGTCTTGGACACAGACTTTAAAATATATTTTTAGTACAAACAATTCATTTAAATATCATCTATATGTACATCTCACAATGATTATAATTTATGTGGATCAGTATGACACTTTTATAAGAGACTTTAGAATGCATCATTTATGGCTAAACACCAAAGAAGTGGGTTGCGCCCACGAAAGTTCATGATACTATCTACATTTTTGTTAGTCCCCAAGGCTATTTCTAGACTGCAAGCCTCTTTCGAAAGAGGCTTTTTCGAAAGTATCTTTCGAAAAAGCCTCTTTCAAAAAGAGCGTCTAGACTGCAAGCAGTACTTTCGAAAAAGCAAGCCACTTTTTCGAAAGAAAGCAGCGAGTTAGTCTGGATGCTCTTTTTCTAAAAAGCCCTGTTGGCATTCAAGAACGCCTTTTTTCGAAAAAAGGCGTCTTCCTCGTGACATGAGGTTTACCGCCGTCAAAAGAAAAGCCGCATTCTTTCGATTTAATTTCGAAAGAACGCGGCTGCAGTCTAGACGCAGGTGAAGTTTTTTCGAAAAAAGGCTACTTTTTTCAAAAAAAAACCTGCGTCTGGACACAGCCCACGGTGCTACAGAACTATTTGCTGTTTAAGTTTTTTCAGTTACAGACTAACGCAGTTACCCCTCTGAATCTTTTCACCATGAAAGCAGTGTACTAGGTAGAGTCAGTTTGTCGAGATTCTTAGGAATTGCTGTTAAAGAACTCTGAACCTACTGCCAGCTGGCACCAATGGGCCTCTGGGTCAAAACAGTTTTGAATGTTCCAATACAAAACGAAACCGTTAGAAACTTATTTTCAGAGGAACTCTTATATTGAGTTTACGCAATTTCAAGATGTGAAAAATATTTGTGACAATAACAAATGTTGACAAATTTCAAGTTCATATGCAGGTGTGAAATATTTAAAAATGCATGACTATAACACACTGTGCAACGTGCTATGTCTGTTGATAAAACAGCCAGAGATTTTCTAACAGGCCTGGAGATACAAGCTACAACACATTCACAGAGAAGAATTAATTTTCTCTCAAAGAAAATTCAAGCTTACTCAAAAAAAAAAAGTCTAATTTCTTTAAACATAAATCAGTTTATTTGATGCCATAAGAATAGCAGTGCTCTAGTACACATCTGAGGCATGCATAATATATTGGGAACACTGTATTTTCTGTTTACTGTGAAAAGAAAAGTATTGCAAACATTTTTCCACTTAAAATAGGCAGGAAGTGATGACATTAGTTAACCCATGCCTCTCTTAAATGTATGAAGGATATACAGGCAGTCCCTGGCTTACGTACAAGATAGGGACTTGTAGGTTTGTTCTTAAGTTGAACCTGTATGTAAGTCGGAACTGGCGTCCAGATTCAGCCGCTGCTGAAACTGACCGCCAGTTCTGACTTACATACAGATTCAACTTAAGAACCCCAAGCGTCCCCAAGTCAGCTGCTGCTGAAACTGATGAGCGCTGATTCCAGGAAGCCTGGGGCAGAGCAACTCTGCCTCGGGCTTCCTGTAGTCAGCGCTGGTCAGTTTCAGCAGCGGCTGACTTGGGGACGCCTGGGGCAGAGCAGCTGGGGTGCTGCTGGGTTGGTCCAGTAGCGCCGAGGAGCGGCGCTACTGGAGCAACCCAGCAGCACCCCAGCTGCTCTACCCCAGGCGTCCCCAAGTCAGCCACTGCTGAAACTGACCAGCAGTGGCTGAATCAGGACGCCTGGGGCAGAGCAGCTGGGGTGGAGCAGCTGGGGTGCTGCCGGGTTGGTCCACTGCCTCAACGGGCTGGATCCAGTGGCTTGGTGGGCCAAATCCAGCCCATGGGCCGTATTTTGCCCAGGCCTGATATAGAGACATGTTAGCATGAAGGAAAGGCTATATGAGACAACAACCATGTCAGGTTAGCTGCTGAGCTGTCTGATTCAGGCCAGTTTTGGCTTCTTACAAAAATTGAACGTCTTCAAGTATTTCAGCACTGGATGTTTGTCATGACAGGTAGTTTAAGTTAGTAGCTGAAATAAACTTGTACTGATGTGTGGGAGTTGAAATATCCATCTATTCCTTAACCACATTGTGTCTTTTGAGCATATGTGGTAGTTAACTCCTGCCGACTGTGAGCCCTTCCAGAAGAAACAACAATGTAGCACAGGGGTGGGCAAGAGAGCCTCCAGGGGCTGGATCCAGCCCACCAAGCCACTGGATCCAGCCTACGGACGCCCTGCCACTCCCCTGCCCCATCGGGACCAGGGGGTGGTGGGACCATGCAAAGTCCCCTTCCCCTCTCAGGGGGCACATAGCACTTAGAGTGAACCACCAGCTGCTCTAAGCACTGCGTACCCCTTGTAGGGAAGGGGTAGGAAGCAAGAGACTTCAGAAATGTCCTGAGCTCTCCCATTCCACCTGTGGTCCTGCCCCTTCTTGGGCCACTTCAAAAATTTGTGAAGTTGCCCCTTCTAAAATTATTGCCCATCCCTGCTCTAAGCAAATCTATGGCTGGCTGCATTAGCTAGCATGGATAAAGTATGCATTTGCCTATTTTCTCTTTTCCTTCCAGTCTTCTTGAACATTATATAGCACAGAGTACCAGAAAGAGTTAGAAGAGATGCCTCGTTAAACTAACTTTTCAGCTTTTATGTTTTCATTTATTTTTAGTAATAAAAGAGACTTTTGTAACAAAAACCCTAAACAACAACTAAAATGACTGCATAAAGAAAAGGATAGAATACTATTTTTATAGAGTATGAAGATAATACTGTAGGAAATTTTTTTCATCAATTCAGTATGTAGTTAAAGTAGACAAACAATATCTTCACTTACGTTAGATTCCCCCAAAAGTTTAGTTTTAGTTTTTATTAAAGAATCCTATGTTTACCAAAGTTTTCCAAATAATCTCTTCCTGCTTTATCTGATAATAAGAATAGATTACCAATGCATAAACTGGCACTTTATAGTGTTATTACTATACTTTGAACAGATTTCATGAGGAAGGCTCTGTATTTTCCTACATTCTCTATTTAGAATAAAATGTAAGTGCAAGGGCTGTCAAAAATAAAATCTGATAAGTCTGAGTCAAAATAAACAGAGATATATTTTATTTCAGAAAGCCTACAAAACTATTCATGACATTCAAATTGTAACCCTTTATGTACAAGTTAACTAGAATTACCTTAACAGAAGTTCTTTAGGTAACTTTTTGTTAATGAGGGCTTCATCATTGTTTGAGAAAACCTGAAAAAAGAAAGAAAATACATTATGAAAAACACTAGTTATATTAGATTAAGAAGAAAAAAAGAGCACTATTACTGCATTTCATACCCTTTAAAAAAAAAAAAAATCAACAAATCTTGCAAATGTAGTCAACAGCATTATACCTCGTCTCTAATAGCCTTCTTTTGATACCCAAATTAAGGCTAAGATTTTGTCATGGCTATTTTTAGTAGAAGTCATGGACAAGTCATGGACAATAAACAAAAATTCATACAAATCCATGAAATGTCCCTGACATTTACTAAAATTAACTGAGACAAAATAGGGATGAAGGGGGAACCAACACCCACGGCTGCTCGGGTTACCAGGTAGACCGCCCCCCAAAAAAAACAGACACAATTGATCATGGTCCTGTCATGGCTATTTTTAGTAGAAGTCATGGACAAGTCATGGACAATAAACAAAAATTCATACAAATCCATGAAATGTCCCTGACATTTACTAAAATTAACTGAGACAAAATAGGGATGAAGGGGGAACCAACACCCACGGCTGCTCGGGTTACCAGGTAGACCGCCCCCCAAAAAAAACAGACACAATTGATCATGGTCCGGGAGGGAGAGACCGACTGGAAGGGAAGGTGGGAAGCAGAGCG